ACCACCAGCGCCGTTTATCATAACCATCAGCTTCCAGTTTGAGGAAACAGGAAAGGCTGAGAGCTGTCAAGGTGAAGTTAGCTGTGGCCTGCTGTTCTATGTCTCTGATCTTTCAGTGTTCACCCCAATACCTGGCTCTGGGTTTGTTTTTATTAATAAGACCTTCTAACAATTCCTGTTACACAACTGCCTTTGATTCCAGCTCCAGGAAATCTGACACTTTCTTCTGACCTCTGTAAGCACTTGCATTCACATGGTGCACATAAATTTGTGCAGGCACACACACATGCATGTAAATTTTAAACTAATTAACTAATTTTTTAAGTACAGCCCTTACCTTATAGGAAATAAAAGGTAGTTCATTTTTGAGCTGAATACAAGTGACCACGGTCCAGAACCACAGACTCGATTTGCCCCAAATAACATGTTGCAATGTGGAAACTGTATCAAGATTTTCTGACAATTATAGAACAAAAGCCACAAATCACAGCATTTTTCAAACACATTGATGGAAACATCAGTTAGATGTTCACAGCAGTAGGGAAGTCTCTGCCATAGTCCTCAGCTACCATCTGAGCATTTTTAATCTTTGCATTCTGAAATGTTTTACTTGCTATGGCAAAGGAGTGGCTATTTATTGATGGGACTAAAGTTAATTGGGGTATCGCTTCTCGGCCTTTTGGCTAAGATCAAGTGTAAAGTTAATTGGGGTCTGTTCCTGCAACATGCCAACTCTGTGCAATTATAAACTTCTAACCAGCCAGCTGGCTTTGTGTGGAATCTTTAACACAGATATGGCTTCAGTTTACAGAAAGATGCTAAACTTTTTTCTGGAATTTCAGTTTATAGAAAGATACTAAAATTCTAACAGAGATTCTGGGACGTCCTACTGAAAGTGCACATGTGCTTTTCCCATACTTATCAAGTGCAAGTGTGCTGACTGGTTTTGTCAGCTTGATACACGCAACAGTCAACAGAGAGAAGGAAGCCTCAACTGAGAAAATGCCTCCATAAAACTGGGCTTTAGGAAAGCTTGTAGGGCATTTTAATTAGTGACTGATATGGGAGGGTCCCACCTATTGTGGGACCGCTCCAGTCACTGTGGGTGGGGTCATTCCTGGGCTAGTGGTTCTGTGTTCTACAAGAAAATAGGTTGAGCAAGTCATGAGGAGCAAGCCGGTAAGCAGCACTCCTCATGGCCTCTGTATCAGCTTCTGCTTCCAGGTCCCTGCCCTGCTTGAATTCCTGTCATGCTTGCCTTCAATGATGAACAGTGATACAGAAGTATAAGCCAAATTAACCCTTTCCTCGCCAAGTTGTTTTTGGTCATGGTGTTTCATCACGGCAATAGTAACCCTAACTAGAACATCAAAGTTATATGATGATATATTTCTTTTATTATCAAAAGTATCTTGGGCTATGTAATCAGAATTGAAAGTGTTCGTGAAAGGTTTCATTCATGAAAGGCACGGAGCTGATTCTCGGTGAGTGACCACGCCCTAAAACCTTGACACTGCACTCCATCCGGCAGCGTCTTTGCTCACATCACTAAACTTCATAATGCTCAGGAATGTGCTCCCACTTTTGCTGACTTCATCATTGTTTGTTCAAGCTGTGCCCTGAATGGCTTAAAGTCCATTCAAATGCAAAGTTTTCACAGTGCTCAGCAGGGCTGGAGAGCAAAACTCCCCACGCATTCTGCATTCTGTTTCAGCACCAAGCAGAGGCAGCTTAGTCAGTCCCTCAAAAGCTGTTTCAGGAGAAAACAAAACAAACAACAAAACCCACCTATTTAAAACAATGCTGAAAACACACGGGCACACCCACTTTCTCTTTTAATGCCTCCTCTCATTTCTTCCTCCTTTGCCCACCTATGTTTTCTACTTTTTCAAACTCAGTTCTATTCACCTCAGATTTTGCCAAGAATCCCCAGCCAACCAGGGCTGGAAATACAACTCAGAAGACATACATGGGGTGGGAGAGGGACAGATTTCTTGTCCCTGTAACTAGAAGCCCTGTAACAAGAAATCTGTCCTTGTCCCTGTAACCAGAAGCCAAGGGATAGACCTAGCTTCAGGATTGGCTAGGCCCAAGGTTTGACACGCCCTCCGAGCTCTCTCATCTTTCAGCTTGCTCACTTCTAACTGGCAAAAGCGGGTAGCTTGTCTCCCTTGATTCAAATGCTCTTAGCTTAGCACCCTCAGTCTATGCTCATGTGTGGCAGAGGGACTGGAGAAGATTGATGTCTCTGTCCCAGTGTTTAATACAAATTCAGGCCAGGAGTCTGTTTGACCCAATGTGAGTCATGTACCTGCAACTGAGGCAGATCTGAAAGGAGAAAGCCCCAGAAGTGATCATCTGACCAGATCAAATAGAAGGAGGGAGAGGGTCTATTCCCAGAAGAATCGGGGTCCTGAAAAGGCAAAGACCTATATGACAGGATTTGGGGGACCCCCAGTTCTTCACCTGCACACTGTTGCTTGGCAGGGATGTGATCTTTTGCTCCTGAACAGGTAAATGATCATTTTGTTGCTTACTTGGACCCACAGACTGCAGCAGAATTCGAGTGTGCAGGCCTAAACCTTGGCCTCTGCTGTCTTCCCTTCCATCTGGGCCTTTGCTATGCAAATGTGCCCAGGACTGCACATGCAAGAAAAGAAACTCAAACAGAGCAAAGTCAGTCAGTTGCTCTAGCTAAGGCCTCAGATGCAGAGATGAGCAAAGTCACTGGTCATCTAGAGGTCTATGAGTAAGCTAGCAGAAAGTAGCTTGAAGAAGCAGAAAAGCACAGCTAACCACAGACTTAGGAATAGAACACTCTGTTACTGTTGTACAGCCTGGAGTTTGGGAGTTATGGTATGTGGTTACTGTAGCAACAGAAAACTGATGGAGTTGTATCCACTATGCCTTCTGCTCTGCAGCCAGCCTGGTGGCCCCTATCTGGCTTACACAGCACTTAGTTACAGATACTGTTGCAAAGATGTCAGGTTAGAAATTCTACTGTTGCAAGTGTTACACTGGATTAATACCATTTATCTTAAATACTTACTCACAATCTCTTTTAGCCCACTAGCTCTTTGTAAGGTTCTTTTGTGCTTTGTTGGATGTCTTAGTTAGGGTTATTATTGCTATGATGAAACATGTTGACCAAAGCAACTTGGGGAGGAGAGTGTTTATTTGGCTTACACTTCCATATTACTATTCATCATCAAAGGAAGTCAGGACAGGAACTCAAACAAGGCAGGAACCTGGAGGCAGGAGCTGATGCAGAGGAGGAGTGCAGCTTATTGGCTTACTCCTCACGGCAAGCTCATCTTGCTTTCTTAGAGAACACAGGACCACCAGGCCAGGGTGATACCACCCACAATGGGTGGGGGTGGGGCCCTCCCACATCAATCCCTAATTAAGAACGTGTCCCACAGGCTTGTCTACAGCCTGATCTTATAGAGTATTTTCTCAATTCCTTCCTCTTTGATGCCTGTAGCTTGTGTCAACATAAAACTGGTCAGGACACTGGGTCCTCCTTTTCCTTCTGAATCCTTTTTTAGGCCATCTTCCAATCAGATTAAGAATAGACAGGACCTCTGAGAATAATGAACACCATTCAAAAATGTCTGTAAAATATTGCTCAGAGTTTTATTTTCCATGTTTGGTTTATGAATTTACCTGCAATTGAGTTAGTTTCATGTTGTCCAAGGCAGGAATTTCATTGATCACAGTATGTTGAGTAAATACCTAACCTTGCCCTCCTGCCTTGTGATACAGTATATTCAGGAACCACATCTTATGGTGGGGGCTTAGTGGGCAGAATTCACATAAGCCAGTCCTAAGTAGGAAGGGACATGTTTATGAGTATAGTACAATGGGCCAATGCATTAACAGACAAACTGTCTTCTTGACTTAGACCAGGTTTTCACGTGGGAACTGTCTTGGTTTCTTTTTCCGTTGCTGTGATTAACATTCTGACAAAAGCAACCCAGGGGAGAAAGGATTTATTTTAGGACACAGTTCAAAAGCACAGTCCATCATGCTGGGGAAGTCAAGGTGATAAGGGCTTGAAGCAATGGGTCAGTAGGCTTCAAAGCAGCAGCTCTTTCATACTCACAGGTAGCTAATTTGATCGGTGGACTTGATCACATCATCCCCCTCCCTGGTGCGCTTGGTCACATCATCCCTCTTCACACTCAGAAGGAACACTGCTTTTCAGTGTTATTAGGGGCTTCTTGGACCAGCGCACCCTAGAAGCTCCTGATAGGAGTGTGATCCCTTTCCCATCTCTCCACGGTGACCTTCTTTCCACTGGGTCTGGCATGTCTGTTTGGCTGAATGGAGGAGCTCCTTGTTGATCCTGGTACGAACACTTCCCCCCTTCTTTACCATTGCTCTGAGCCAAACTTTGTAACTATAGGACAATCTACTTCTTCAAAGTGTTTTGGCTCTTTCAGGCTCTTTATTTTCTCATATACATTTTACAGTCACCTTGCTGGGTGAGGGGGGGGGGGCGGTTTCTACGAATGTAATTCGTCATTTGCCAGATTGTGCTGGCCTTCAAAGTGCGTCCAGGATTCAGTCCATTCCTCCACCTAATCCAAGCTGGTCTGCCACCAACATTTCCTCCTGGCTAAGCTCAGCAGCCTCCGGAAAAAGGCCTCTGGTCTGCACTTCCCCTATGGTCGGGTCTCAGTCCAGCAGCCAATGACTCTTTTGAAGATTTAAATGAGGTGGTGGCACTTGTATCATCTAAGTTTCCTTATAGTTGTGCCAAACGTGACATTTTAAGAAACACTAGCCCAAATGAATGAAGGAGCGGGTTTCTGGATGATGAAAGCTCGTCTCTTAAGGGAAACAAAACTGAACTACAGTGGTATTGACCTGGGCTGCCCACCGCGGCGAGGATGAACTTGGGCGTTCCTAGTGGGGCCAGAAGCAGAAGCGCGGGCACGAGGGGCGTGCACAGAGCGCGGAGCTCAGCAGCAGGAGCAGCGAGTGACGCCGAGGCAGAGGCAGGAGCCTCTGGGCGGGGCCGCGCGTCGTGAGCGCGCCTCAGGGCCGCGCTCCTGGGGGCGGCGCGCGGGACCGTGGCGCTTCCGGCAGCGGGAGGCGGCGCCGAGCGGGACCGAGCGGTTCGGGTAGCGGCCGGGGAGGCGGTGAGTGGCGGGGGGCTGCGGGGCGCGCGGGCTGGCTCGATCTCGGGTTCTGCGGGGGATGCAGCGGGGTGTGCTGCGCGCGCTGGGGAATACCTGGGGCGGGTGCCTACTCCCGGGGACCTCGTGGGTCCTCAGCTCCCGCCCGTGGCTAGGGAAGACCCCGCGTGGAGCTGGTCTCGCTTCCCCTCAATGGGAGGGCACATTACGCATCCTGCCACGCGTCCCTAGCCACCGCGTGACGAAACTTGCTGGGTGCAGGCGGCCAAGATGGCTGCCGGGGGACGGTCTCCACGAGGATGGGCGTGCGCGCAATTGCCAGGTGACCTGGTGGCTCCTAGAAGCTGGGACCCGGAGGTCGGCGAGGAGAGACCACCTGGTGGCCACCCTCCAATTCATAGTCTCTTCAGGGGACCGAAGTGCCCCAGGTAGATCCGTGGGACCTGCTTGCACCCTCAGCTCCCACATCGTGTTACAGAGCATCACAGGTCCAACAGCCCCAGAATGACAATGACCACACTAAGGTCTGTGCCTGATGGATTAGATCTCTGACTTTTGTGTTCGTCCAATGCTTCCAAGTCTTTGGTATTCTCTCCATAATCCAGATTTGAAAATTGAGGCTCAGAAGTTGAGTAACTTGTCTAAAGTGTCACAGCTGGCCAGGGAGGAAGCAAGGCAATCCGAGTGTATATATACATTGTTTCCACCAGTATGCTCTCAGTGAAGATTTGTTGAGCGATCTCATGGAAAAACCTAGCTCCGCTGGACTTCAGAGTTTGGGCACTTACCCAGGACTCCTTACAGTTTTCTCACACTCCTGATCCCTCCTCTGCTGCACCTACTGTGAATACTTCTAAGGAGTGGGTCTCAACCTGTGGGTCGCACATGAAACTGCATATCAGCTATTTACATTATGATTCGTAACAGTAGCAAAATTAGTTATGAAGTAGCAACAAAATAATTTTATGGTGGGGAGGGGGGTCACCGTAACATGAGGAACTGTATTAAAGGGTCACATCAGTAGGAAGGTTGAAAACTTCTGCCTAGATTTTTCTCCCTGTCCATTTTCCAGGCAGAGGTGGGAGGAGGGGGCAGGCACACAGGTAAACAAGGGGATTTTGTGACTCTTAAACTGTTGGACTCCGGCTTGCTGGGTGGATAGGAAGTCCCGGGACCTCAGGCACCCCTTTCTCCCCTTCAGGACTACAGTTGCCCCATTCGCAGAAATGACGGTGTTTGGGAAGAGTTTGTCAGTTCCCACCCAGCTCTGATAAGGAATTGCTTCATCTGTGTATTCAAGGGTTAGGTGTGGGGTGCAGCCAAAGGTCTGCAAAATGCACAGAGTAGATTTAGTTTTCTGTAAAAGTTTGGTGAAAACTCCCAGAATATGCAACAAAAGCTATTTGCTAAGAGGGAACATCCCCTTGCCCCTCCTAATTTCCTGCAAAGAAAGCTGTGAAGACAGGCAGGCCATAATGACTGTGTGTGTGTGTGTGTGTGTGTGTGTGTGTGTGTGTGTGTGTGTGTGTGTGTGTGTGTGTGTGTACATGTGTGTGTACTGCATGTGTATAAGTGCTCTCAGATGCCAGAAGAGAGCATTAGATCCCCTGGAATTGGAGTTGCCCACCTTTGCAAGCTGCCAGATGTGGATGATAGGAACCAAACCCAGGTCCTCTGAAAGAGTAGCAAGTGTTCTTGATGGCTTGGCCATCTCTTCAGCCCCCTCCTTGATACTGTTGCTTTCTGATGCCTGAGAATGAAACAAAGTATCTATCACTGCAGAAATGGTAGCGTTAGCAAGGTGCCTTTGGCTGTGGGTAAGGCCAATATATGGTTTGGAGTTCAAGGTAAGAAGTCTATACTAGTCTCTTTTGTTCCTTTTTTTCTTTTTTCTTTTTTAGCTATTCATTAGAAAGTAAAAATTTATTCTTAAGAATCTTATCAATGTGTGAAGTTTATATATCACTTATTGAGTGTGTATGGGTGTGTGCCCAGATACTTCATCTGTACAAAGTTCAAGCTTATTATTAGTTGATACTATTAATTTGTAACATCATTTCGTAGACTTTGGTATATATAGTCTGTAAGTTGACTCTTCCCCCATAGGGCTGAGGACCAAATCAAGGGCCTTGTGCTTGTTGAGCACTGAGTCAATTCACTCCCAACCCCAAACTGATTCTTTTTGAGTGGGAAATCATTTGACTGAATATGTCCAAAATATTCTGTTAATGGTTGGGTAGTGTTTTATCATTTTTGCAGGGTGCGACCATCTCAGGTAGAAATCAGTAGATTTTTTTTTTTTTTTTAATTAGATATGGTTTCACCCTCTTCTGGGTGACTCCTTAAACAGCTCAGGCTCAGAGTTGATCTTGAGGCCTGGAACATGGACAAGGCTGTCTTGTCACCAGAGTGCTAGAAGACAGAGCTGCATGGGGGGTCGGGCAGAGTGTCAGGGCCCACATCTGCATTCAGCACCATCCTTGGAAGCGAGGGGTTTCCAGCACAAACCCATTACAACTGGACATGCTCTTATTTAAAAATTATTATTATTTGTGTGTGTGTGTGTGGCTGCATGAGATTATATGCAAATTGCAGGCAGTTATGAGCCACCTGATGTGAGTGGGTGTTGAGAATTGAACCTTAGGTCCTCTGGAAGAACAATGAGTGCTCTTAACCATTGAGGCATCTCACCATGCTCTTCAAACTAGTAAATCTTTTCACAAAATATAACTTTCTTATCTGTGGTTTAATCTCTAGAATGACCATGACCATAAGAAAGGACCACTGGGGGCAGGTGACTGGCTAAAAGACAACAGAAATTAGTAAGTAGTTGGCATTGACTTAGCGTGATTGAGTGTCCATTGCAGACACATTACCTCTTAAATCCAAAACTGTGGTAAGGACGGAACTGCCCAGGCTGTCACCTTGAACGTGGGAAGATACCTCAGGAGGCCGTGAGGATTTAGCAGTCCGATGCTGCATGGAAAGCCCAGTGTCTGAACCTGAGGAACCCCCAGAGCGTGGACCACATGGTTCTATTAGACTATTTCACACCTGCCCAGCCCCAAAGAAGCCAAGTGAACAGTAAACCCCGCCTCCATCTCCAGTGCTGGGAACAGAGCCAGAGCAAGTGCTCAGCGGCTGAGCTGTGTCCCCAGCCCTAGACCTTTGCTTAACTTCTCCAAAGAACAGCAGTTTTAACCAACAGCCTGCTTTCCAGTTTAATAATGTGATTACCATTGTTAATCTTTAGCCAGGGGTAAAGGTTTGTCCCCGATTCTCCCAGGAAGTTCATTCCCTATTCATTTTCTATGACATTTCAGAGAACTCTTTTTTAAAACATGTTTTGGCGTGTATCTAAAAGTTTGAAATTTGGTTTCTTTTGATGCAAGTTTCTTTTGCTTAGACACTTGTGAGAATCTTTGGGGAGCTAGAGCAGCCATGCTCCATTCTCCCCCAGCCTCCACCAGGGAGGACAGCAGTTGGGCTCCCCAGCATGGCTCGCTCAGTGATCCCTCCCTACCTTTGGTGCTTTCCATCTGTGAAGTCAGTAGAGCCCTCTACTTGGTGGATCCTACCAACCCTGTGAACGAGACTGGCTGTCCAGTTTCTCCATCAGAAAAATTAGATTTAGGGTGAAAAGTAATTCCCATTTTGTGGGGTTATAGAATTTATACTCCAATGCAGGTCGTGTTCTCTTGGTCCAGTTCCCATTCTGTAAGTTGTCAGGGTTGATTCGATTCTCAAGGTAGATCACAAACTGTCCTCCCTAGGCAGGAAACAGGCTGGAAAAGCAGGCCAGTAACAACAGGTACGAGATAGAGTATCACTGAAATATTTAGACTGCTCTAGCTCAGGCCTAAAGGTCTTCCTTAACTCTTGGTCATTTGGTTTTTATTTATTTATTTATTACCCAACCATGTTTCCCAACTTGCCTGGTCTTAAGATATTCCCAGTGTACCTCTGAGAAACTAGGTTTACCTCAGCTCTGCCCTGTCACATTCTCTGAGATGATGCAGTCCCTGGTCACAGGTCGCTAAGGGAGCAGAGATCCTGGCAGCAGGTAAGTTAGGTTCACATTTGGATTGCTGAGTTAGTGATCTGCTTTCCTGTGCCTGTACAGGAGGTAATGGCTCCAAGGCTTAGATGGGGGCGGGGGGTTGCTTTAGAGTACAGCTTTAGAGTAAGTGACTATTAGCAAATATTAGTACTTACTGGCAGGCAGAAACCCACACTTATAACAATTTTGAAAGTGTTGAATAGCATGTATGAGTTCTCCAAGTAGTTGGCAGAGCTGAGATTTGAACTCAGATTTCTTATGCCCACAAGCAGAAGTTTCTGTCTTCAGCCTTGCAGCAGTTCTCATACGCCCTCCACCCTCCTCCTCCATATCCAGGACTCGGGTTACACAACAGCTGGCAGAGACTGGGCTGTGTGGCACAGAGCAGAGTTTCGAGTCAAGTAAGTGGCCCACTGGTTGACAGTGCCCTGACTTAATAAACTTCCGGCGGCGGAGGCATGGGGGTGATGCATGAAGGGAGTGCTCCAGGGAAGTGCTCCAGGGAAGTGCTCCAGGGCCCAGGTATCAAGGGCTGCTCCTCGCCCTTGCCCAGGGCTATGCTGCCAGTGTGGTGCCAGGCAGGATGCTTAATTGCTTATGAAGACTGGGACATGTCCTGTAAACATAGGAATCTGGTCCCCCTGTTACCCAGTGAAGCTAAGAACAGGAGAGACAGTGAGAGAGGCAAATGAGCTTTACTGGCAGCAAGCTGGTGAGTTGGAAGGTGGAGGATTTACACACAGAGTCCTTCCTGCCAGAGCTGCAGATACAAAAATTACTTGGCATTTCTAAGGGGTCTAATTCTAGAGTCAGGTGAGTGCCCAAATGATCACTAATTCTTGCAGTGACCAGCTCTCTTAAAGTGGTGTCTGTAATTGTCCACTAGTCCTCAGGGAGCCAAGATGCTTTGTGGGACGCAGAGGGAGAGGGTCCCATAACATCT